AGCCCTCACTCCGGGCAGGGCACCGGGCACATGCCCCACCACAGTGGCTCTACTCACAGGAGAAAGCTCCRTCCTTGGTCTCTCTCACTAGAAAGAGACTGAAGTAGCCAACCAGGTCATCTGGCAGGTCCAGCTTGGAGGCCACAGCCTGCGAGGGAGAGCAGAAGGTCACGACTTTCCAACAGAGTCCCAGTCTGGGGGCGAGATGCAGCCCGTGTGCATTCAACAGCAGGAAGGCAGCACCTCTGCTGCCCTTGGGGCTCCTTGCAAGCAGGAAACACCTCGGGCCCCCCAACATCACTGTGGGCCCAGGGACACCCACTGGCACGCCCATTCCAGCTCCCAGATTTCTACACCCATTCCAGCTCCCAGATTTCACCCCACCAAGTCAGCCCTGCTGCAGAGCAGGAGAGGGCAGGGGAGGCTGAGAGACCACCACACATGAGAGAAATCACAGAACACAGGAGGAGGGGCTGGTCCCACCCMGCACAAGAGCTCTGGCACCTCAAGGACATCCTCTGTCTGGTCTGAGGTGAGGATGGTGACCTTGACCTTCTGCCCGTTCGAGAGCAGCACCTCCAGCACCACCTCCTCTGTGGGGATCTGCTGCGTCTCCTGCAGACAGAAACAGAACCAGGACTGGCACCCCAAGCTCCTGGTGCACACAGAGAGCCCCAGAGCTCCCCAGCTCTGCCCTCACCTGCTGGGCCTTGCGCAGGAAGCTGTTGAAGGTCTCGCTGCCTCCCAGCGTCGGGTCCTGCCGCACTGTGGGAACGGCACGAGGAGTGAGAGTTCCATGGGAAGGGCAGGGACCCTGTGCAGCCCCTCAGTTTGTCCCCAGACCGTGTGCTGGGGCAGCCACGGCTCCCCCACACATCCCCACTCTGCCAGGGCAGGGCTGGGACAGGAGCTGGCATCCAGGGGACAAGCTCAGCTCAGCCAACGCCAGCGCTACCCTGGGAGCTGCAAGGTGGGCCCCAGCACATGGAGAGTGCAGGGACAAAGCTGTGCCTGCACAACCAGACCAGGCTAGGCCCAGCTTACCAGCCTGCATGTACTTCTCCAGCTGCTCCCGTCGCTGCTCTACCTCCGCTGGGGTCAGCGTGAAGATCTTCTTTGGGGGGAAGGCTGGCACCACGTTGGCTCCATACTCCTTCCTTAACTGGGATAAAAACAGAGCTGCAAGAGCTCCAGGGAGAGATGGCTTCCCGGACCCCCACCCCAGCGATCCCCAGGGACCCTGCAAGAGCAGCAGAGCCTGCCAGCACCCCTCATCCCCTGGGCAGCAGCAGCACCCAGAACCCCGATGGAATGGGTTCCCAGAGAGCAGGATTGGCACCCCGGCTCTCTCCAGTCCTGTACCTGCTCGTGCAGACCCAGSAGCTGGCTGTAGCGCACCCGGCAGTGCAGCACCCCGTTCACGTGGATGTTGTAGGCCTGCAGGGAAAGATGGCACTCAGATCCCAACGCCTGTCACATGGAGGGATCTCAGGAGAGACACAGCTTGGGGCACACAGGGAGCCCTCGGGAAAGGAGGATACTCCTGAGGAGCCTGCTGAGGGGTAGATGGTCAAAACTGTTCAGGCAGTATGAGCACATCTGAGAGAGGTGTCCCTGGACACCAGGAAAGCCCAACCCTGTGCCTGCCCAGACATGGGGAACATGGAGCCACCACACTGCAGCCCTGCAGACACGGCTGTCCCCGTGCCATCAGACAAGGACACCCCTCCCCAGTGCCAGGGGTTCCCACAGAGCTGGTCCTTGCCATGTCCCCTCTGCTCTGCCTCAGCTCCTGTGGATGCCACAGGCACAGCACAGCTATGACTGCACAACACACGAGGCCTGGCACCTCATGGCAGCTCCCCCAAGACAGAGACCTTCCAGGGGACAGCGCTGTCCTCTCGGGTCCTGCCGTCCCTAGAGCAGTGTTTTGGAGGGCAAGAGGATGGACATGAGCCTCCAGCTGGCCATGTTAACCCCCAGCCGGCCATGGCAGCCCAGCCTCCCATGGGTGTCCCAGTGCCCTCCTGCCCCTGAGCCCCAGGACTGCCCAGGCTCGGCACAGATCCCAACCCAGCCACACTGGAGCTCACACTGAACCTCCCAAAGGCACAGCCCAGTGTCTCAGGTTACTGTGGAAGAACCAGCAGGGACACGGGTGGTGCAGACAGCAACCATGCCTGCCCACATCAGGGGTCTCCATGAGGCCACAGCTCCTGCCCAGCCCCCGGGCAGCCCAAGAGCTCTGTCCACGGCCTCCCCCAGGCCTGAGGAGTCTCCACAACAGCCAAGGGCAAAGTRCAGGGGGTCACAGGGCCAAGAAAGGAGCCTCGGGGGCTGTTTGCTCCTCTGGCCCTTGAGCAGTGCACGTCCTGCGGCTCGCCAGGTCTCCCCATCACTGCTCAGCACCGGCTCCATGCCCCAGCCCGGACCGCCCAGGGGGATCCGGAGAGGGATTTTGGCACAGATGGGGGAGGTCTCGGCGGGGCCGTGGAGTCCAGAGTTGCTCAGTTTTACCCAGAGAACRCGGATCCGCACCCTCCGCCCAGCCCAGGGCTGTGCGGGCCCCGGGAAGGGGGTGCGGGCTCTCAGTGCCACCGCCGCTCGCAGCAGCTCCAGCGGCGCCTCTGACGGCGCCCAGAGCAAAACAGGAAGCCGGGACGAGCGGACGGACGGGCGGGCCGGGATGAGCCGGGGCTGGGGMTGGTCCGGACGGGGCCCCTGAGGGYKGMTCASTCCCGGGCAGGGCAAGGTCCGGACATCCCCGGGGCGGTCCGAGAGCCCTCCCTGGCCAGAGCTGGGGCGCGGGGGCGGCCGGGCCCGGTTCCTGCCCGGCCCTGGCACGGGGCGCCGGCTGCGGATGACGGTGGGCTCAGAGCTCCCCGCCCGCCCGGCCGCGGTCCTGATCCTGATCCTGGTCCTGATCCTGATCCTGATCCTGGTCCTGATCCTGAGCCTGATCCTGATCCTGATCCTGACTCTGATCCTGATCCTGATCCTGATCCTGATCCTGGTCCTGATCCCG